TTTAAAGCCATAAAACCTTTTTTGCTTGTTTTATTTATCATAGAGTGAATAATCTCTTGAGCAATTATGATATTATCATTACTCTACCTACCTTGAATGAAGCTACAATACAAGTATGTAGCTAATTAGAGATAATTTTGGTGATAATTTTGTTGCTCGCATTACAAAGAGATATAAGGCAAAAATCTTTCATGCAAGTAGGGTGGTCAATCTTAGGGATCAAAGTAATGATGGTGTCATTAATCTCCCTAAGAGAGTTGGAGTCCCTAAAAACCCTTTTGGTAAGTTTAATGATGCTATGCTTTAGATCATTCCAGTAAGAATAAATGAAACCTGCGTTGATCCCATCAAGACCTAGAGCTTAGAAGGCCCCAATGTCAAAAGTACCATTCTTGATTTCATTAATAGGTATCTCTCTGTGTAAGGATTGCAGTTGAATGGAGGAGAGGGTAGAGAAACTTCTTTCAGTGGTTACCTTAGGTTTGATGTTTTTGTCTTCCTTAAAGAAGTCTTCAAAGTAGGAAACAACCATCTTTTCTAGCATATTTTGATCCCAGATCCAAGTATCATCATTTGCTTTAAGAGATAAAATATGGTTCCTTTTTTTGCATGGAATAATTTAGTGTTTTGATCTCCTTATTTTAACCACTTACATTTAGATTTCTAGAAGCAAATTAAATCTTTTTGCATGAAAACTTTGTTGTAATCTTCCCAAAGAGACTTTTCTAGTTCCCTTAAAAAGTAATTATTTCTATGGTTTTTTTTTCAATTCCCTTCAATCTTTATAAAATTATTTTCTTTTTGGAAGATATACTATCGATATTTTCCTTATTCCAAAGGAAGCATAAGTTGCAAATTTAATCACTCCCTCATTACAGCCATTAGTAGTCCACGATTCTTTAATCAGAGGGTGAAAAGAATCCTCAAGCATCCAAGCAGCGTGACAACGAAATGGTTTAAGATGGTACTCTTAGTGGTCATTCTTATAAAGTTGAATTCTAATCGAATGATGGTCAAAATCGTACTTGAGAAGGCGGAAGGAATTGGTTTGATGAAATTTAAGTTTTCAATCTGTGTTGCACAAGCCAAATCAAGACATTCTTTAACATTGCCTTTCTCCTAAGTATACTTGTCACTAAAGTTCAACTCTAGAAGGTTGGAAGAATTTATACAATGTCTAAACTATTTCATAGACCTCTAATTGAAACTATCACCCCCTGATTTATCTTCATAGGAAATATATGAGTTGAAGTCACCAACAATAAACTAAGAGTCAGTGGCATTTTGAGCAATAAAGATGATAGAATCCTAAAAGAGGCCACAATTGTAAGAATTCAAGTCACAAAAACCCAAGTTTGAGTAAACATAAACAATTGGACATTGCAGTGTAGAAATTGGACATCACAATTGAACCATAAACACAAGAGAGCATGTAAAAGTTATTAGAAACTAAAATGTTAACATTGCAGTGTAGCAATTGGACATTAGAGTAAACATAAACATAACCAATAGCCTCAACACAAATCCAGTTAGAAAAATTCAGTTTTCTAATAATTTTATTAGCTTTGACACCACAAGCTCTAGTTTCAAGTAAGATAAGTATTTGAATATTATGAGTTTTACTGATTTTTTTAATATGTTTTGAAAATTTTTCACACAAAAACCTCTACAAGAATGTATTATTTAGTTGGAAGTAGATTACTCTTTTTCCTCCATCTCTCCGGGAGATAATCTTTTATGCTCTCCAAAAAAGATAAACTAGGATGGGGCCCACAATATAATCTACGGTTTTAACAAGGAAAAAAACCATGCTGTAAGGCACTAGAAAAGTAAGATATTTGTTAAGGATGTATTAAATATGGATAAAGTATGAAACTTTTTTAATTTTTAAATAAAATTGATGAGTTTTAAGTGTAACTTAATTCTACTGAAAATGCTTGGGGTGTATAATTTATAAATGGGAGGGGGTAGTGAAGGTTAACAATTAACTTTTTTTTTTTAGCCATAACAATTAACTTATGAATTTTTAACGTCTTTGTACGTGTTCAGATATCAAATGCGGAAGATGATGTCAAGTAAAATCAGTTCAGAAAATCTAATAAAGCAATTTTTTACTTGCACCGAGAAGAGCTAAGTTTGAGTTCGAAATCCAATCTAAAAAACATTCAATAAAAATTAGGCTTGAGCCTCCAAATTAGTATCCAAACAAGCCCATTATAATCCCCCCCGGGTGAAAAACCAAATTTCCAAGGTATCCAACAATAATCATGAAACTAATCCCTTCAAAAAATTTCAGCATCATTTTTTAATCGAAATATAACTAAATACAACTTTCCAATATATGATATATGTGTGCACGCGCTGAATACCAACTATATGAATTTTTCTAATAATTAAATAATGAGCCTATCATATTAAAAGTCACATTTCAGTTGAGGGATTAATTAATAAAAAATTAGAAAAAAAATTATACAACCATAACATTTAATGGAATATTGCCTGGAATCAATATATATATATATATATATATCTTGTAAAAAGTTATAAATTAGTCAGAATTTCTTTAACACTATTGATCAATTAACTTTTGATTAAATTTTAACTCTTTCCATTCATTGGTTCATTTTATTTGTCATATATCTCATTATTAGATTTTAAATATAAAATTTAAATTTTACGAGAGTAGTAACTTCATCCATATCAGCTTTTTCATTTATCTTGTGTCCCTCAATATTCTCTGAGCTCTATCTTTAAGAATTCATATATCTCATTATTAAATTTTAAATATCAAATTTAAGTTTTACAGAAGTAGTAACTCCATTTGTCTCAGCTTTTTTATTTATATCACATTTTTCAATATTCTCCAGTCTCTATCTTTAAAAATTTATGTATCTCATTATTAAATTTTAAATATAAAATTTAAATTTTATGGGAGCAATAAGTACCTCCATTTTAGCTCTTTCATTTATCTTGTATCTCTCAATATTCTCCCATCCTTATCTTTAAGAATTCATATATCTTATTATTAAATTTTAAATATAAAATTTAAGTTTTACAGGAGCAGTAACTCCATCCGTTTTAGCTTTTTCATTTATTTCACATTTCTTAATATTTTTCAATCTCTATCTTTAAAAATTCATGCATCTCATTATTAAATTTTAAAATAAAATTCAAGTTTTATGAGAACAGTAACTTCATCTATCTCAATTTTTTCATGGAGTGCCAATGGCATGAGCAAGCATCTGAGGAAGCTTGTTATACCTTTTGGAGAGCATCTTTGTTGTCACTTGTACTGGATGATAGAAAATTATCTTATACTTCACTATCACAAAATGAAATAAAAATGTATCAATTTGTAGAACTTTTTCATATTGTTGATGAATGTTTGTCTATATTACTACTTACAATTTTCTTGTATCAAATCTTAACAATTTACAAAGATTAATTCTCTCACTTTTAAGTTATTAAACATATAATTATATGCAATTGCAATAAAAAAATATTTGTATTATAATTTTTCTAACAATACGCTATAAATATGAAATCAAAGTAAGAACTATAATTATGTTTTATATATTTCAAATATAAAAAAAGTACATAATTCACATTTTTTGCATCATTTAAAAAAATAAAAAGATATCTATTCAGAAGTTTTCACACCATAATCATGTATGATAGAATTATCAAAAATTTAATTTTTTCAAACTATATTTGTAGTTTATTATAGGCTATAGAAATAAAGACAAGATGTATATGAACAGAATATTCAAAAAAAAAAAGAAAATGATTAAATGGAGAAACTTTAAAAAATTTAACAATCTTAAATGTGTTGATATAAATAGTATCCAAGGTGTTTGTTTTAAATTTTTTAAATCTAATCCGTGCAACGCAAAGGAAACTATCTAGTTATAATATAAAGCATCTTCTAAAAAATTTGCTTTATCCAAATGTAAGGCAATAGGCAATTTTTATAATTATCTTTTTATATACTCCTACTTCATTTATTACTCTTTTTAAAAAATTAATTCATTAAATTTTTTAATTAAAATTATTAAGACATTTATATTAAGTATTTAATGAAAGAGTAAATTGAAAAGATATAAAATTTTAAATAACCTTTTTTAGAATTGTAAAGTGATTACACATGCTTTATATTGTTGTCTAGAAAAAGTATCTAAAAGATAAGTATTAAATATTTAATCTTATATGCTTAATGTACTTTTATATAATCAAATCAACATAAATAAAGTTTAATATATTAATAATATTAATAATAAGAATTTTTTATAAAATAAATAATACATAAAAAATTTACATATTTTGATTGAATTAAAAATAAATACTTTAAATATATAAGATTTAGTATATAATTTTTCTTGAGAAAATATATCTTTTGATCTCTACATTTTGCTATAAATCTTTATACTTTTTTTTTTGATATTTTAAATCCCTATACTTTTATTTTTTGATGTTCTAAATCCTTCAATGAACAACGTATAGAGACTTTAAATAAACATAAAATATTAAAAAATAAAAATATAAGAATCCAAAATGCTTAAAAAAAAGTACAAAAATTTATAATAAAACAGGAATAAAGTGCAAGGACAAAAAACTGTTTCTTTCTTTTTTTATAAGAACTTGTTAAAAGACCTTGGTATTATCTGATGAAAACCGCAAAGTTGATGCGGAAGATGAATGTTTGACGTCCGTTTTTTTTCTAGTTTTTATGGAATATAGTTATAGTATGATAAACATTGGAGTTAGCCAAGGGCATTGGTGAAATCGTCGCATGTTCAGGACGTAGGAAATATCCTGTTTTGGGCTTTCGGACAAAAACACACCTCGACTCCTCCAGAGACCTTAGCAAGTACTTAGTGCATACACAATTTCAGGTTGTAGCCATGGAAACAGCCATTACATCTGTTTCACTGTAACAGTAACAGGGTAATGAACAAAAGAATACCTCGGAGGGGAAATTACAGCAAAACGGACTAATCAACTCAGCTCAGAGCAAAGACAAGATAATATTTACACATCTAGCTTCTTCTGTAGTGTTTTGGTTCAATGAAATGGAAGAGTAGCGGGAAGAAATTTCATGAAATGGAGAGAGCAATGGATCTGATTTTAATTACTTCTCTAAATCCCCTTTACCTTTCAAGGGTGGAGATGAAATTTTGTCCACCCCTCCCCTTCATTTTGTTTTAATTAGGCAAGAGGGGAGAGACTTCTACCCCCCTTAATCCCTCCAACAAAACAAGCCTAGGGACGTTGTTGACATTTTTTTGTACACAAAATTACAAACTGCTAATCGGAAATATGAACTCTGTTAGTGAGTAATGAATTGTGACAGAAAATACGCCGGATCAACTCTAGAATTCCTTCTTGCATTGCCTCTCCTTCCTCAGGCTCTCATGGCATGGAGCAAAAAACTCATGCTGAAGAGCTTCCTCTGCACCGATTCTCAGTCTAGGGTTCACCATCAAGCACTTGTCTAAAAGATCAAAAAGTGAACCGGGAATGACTTCTAGGAACTCTGGTCTCTTTGTGTTCATTGAGCACCAATCTCGAAGTCGCAAAGATGGCAAACTTTGTTTATCGTACAAGTCCTATAACACAAGCAGTTACTTTTCAGTTGAAATCATGAATTTAAATGAAAAGTCTGAGTGGACTCCAATCTTATATAATTGATACCGCAGGGAATGAGGATTCCCGGTTGTGTAGCTTAGCAACCTCCCATAGATCCTCACTGCCTCTCAATTTAGCTATATCCTTTATGTTCCTGAAAATTGCGCATAACAGAAATTGTGAAAATAAATAGTGAAGCTAAATACGCCAAGCTTGCTGAAGTGTTGGATTATATCAGAAATTCTTACTGTTCAGGATCACCAGTGAAAGCAGTCTTCCCAATTACGAGATAGAGCAAGGATACACCGGCAGACCAGATGTCAAGCTTAGGACCTTGATGTGGAGACCTGAACAATACCTGCACAACGTACTCACCAGTTACCATCAACCTTCTTGCTTAGCTGTAAACTTCATATTATATGTTTCGATCCAAGAAAAGAAACTTCTCCAAAGTCCACTAAACTTTTACTTTCACACTAGCAAGTCCAAAGAACGAAAACCTGTACAGTGATAAAAGTTTCCACCAATTCTAATGCTCCTATTTGGACTAATAATTATATAAACCATCTTTGCCGAACAAGATGAAAATACAGGATTTCTACCATCTCAAAGTTATTATAAAGAGTAATCAACACTATATTAAAAAGAAGGCTAAATTATATAAAACTTTCATAAACTTTCAACCATATATAAGTAGCCCTCTTAACCTTTAAGACTTAATAATAAACATTCTTGAGCTTTCAGGTTTATGCAAATAACTTTTAGCCATTAATTATAAACTCCCTTAAACTTTATCTTTGTGCACATTTAAGCCCCCAAACTTTGTTTGATATACGGACTACCCTCCTAAATTTTAAGTTATGTATAGATATTTTATGTATAAAATTAATAGAGTTATCCACATAAATATTCTTGTTGAGGGGGTTCATTGTAAAGTTTCAAAAATTAAAGAGGTTATATATACGTGATTCAAAATTTAAGAAAGTAATGTATAATTTAGGCTAAAAAAAAATTTAATTGTAGAGTTATATAATCAACCCCATTTAGTGGAATAAGACTTATTATCATAGAATATTATATGTTTCTCAAGCCCAGTGGTAATTTGGCAAAAGTTTTACAGTGTTAACGTAAAGTCATTAAAAAGATACATTTTTGGGCCATTCATTTGACTAACAAGCTCGTAATCATCCTACCTCTGGAGCCCGAAAGCCTTTTGTCCCGACACAAGAACCTTCTCTTATCTGCTTTCCATTCCCTGCAAATATAAAAGTATTAAACAAAGAAATTCTTGATTGACTGCCGCTCATCTATATAGCCTATGAATGAAAGCACTGAACCTTTACTCCGCAGAAATCCGGCACCAGTGACATCATTGCCGATCGAGTTCAATGGCATGGGAGAGACGTAGATGTGCTCGCCCACCATCTTACTACGAGGAGCAGGAACTCGCTTTCTCATAGGAGTGTTTGATGGTTCTTGATTTGGACCTAACAGTGTTTCTTGCAAAATGCTAATCAACTCTTTCCTCCTTGGTTTTACCAGACTCAGTCTCTTTTCAAGTGATGTTCTTGTGCTAGTCACATCCTTTGCTGAAGTCACTCCTGAGCCGTCCGCACCTTGACTTTTCATTAGCTGCCCACTACCTCTGTCATTTTTTGTCTTTGGTTGCACTACACTCTTTCTTCTGTTCTCCCTAGGATCTAAGATCGACTTGGAGGCGTTAGTTGTCTGCTGATTGGTAGCTTCCAAAAAATTGACATTGGAGAACTTTCTGCCTTTGGTTGAAGCTGTAGAATTTTCAACAGAAAGTTTTTAGTTAATGTTTGAACCACAACCCTGCAATCATTTGCATTGTAAACTAGGCTATAAACTCCAGCAAACAGAAAGCTATCCAATATATTCATAGTGATGACTGGAAGTAGAGTCCCATAGAAATTGGGTCTTCTTGCAAACAACCAAATTATCAATTTCTTATATTTTATTCGAAGCAGCTAGGGGAAGGGGGAACAAATGAAAATTCAGTATTTATCTTTAACTCCCATGAAATCAGATATCTCCGAAAGTACAGAAAAGTTAAAGAGATTATTAACACATGAGCTAATGATATTCTAAATTACACAATTAACTTTCTTAAGATGTTAACTCGATCAAAATCATATGCGAACGTGGAACTTCAGTGATCTCATCATTTCTGTTATCCTTGCTTATATGACGTTCAAACAGCAAGTGAAGGGAAGAGTATCGACAGCGGCTGCCTAGCTTCCATTCCTCTAATTCTCCTTTTCGGTTCTCCCTAAATTCTTTTCCCCTTCATTTGTTCGTAAACAAAGACTTAGCAATTCATTCATAGTTCACTTAGGACTTCAGTTATTAGTAAATATACGTATAAAGCTGAGAGCAGTGGAAGCTTACTGATATTCCCTGGCTTCTGATGCAGATCCTGAGAAAAGCAGCAAGAATAGGCTAAATAACAAGATAAAACAGATTTATATATTGAACAACAATGAAATCTGTTATGCTTCAGAAACAAAATACTTACCTTGGCAAGATTGAAATCAATCAGATACCCTTTGTTAAGCTTACGGGAGAAAAGGAAGTTGCCAGGTTTAACATCTCTGTGGATTACTCCCTGTGTACACATAAGAAGTCATAAGAACCTCTAATTTTCCAAATGTCGCGATATTACATAAAATATAAGTATTTATACCCGCTTGTGGAGAGTTGCTAGAGCCCTGAACATGCAGTAACCATACCATCGGAGTTGAACAATATCGATTTCTTTCCTTAACACCTATGTCAATGCAAAATTCTGCATATAAGAGTAAAAACAGAAAATAACACAGAAATTCCAATTAAATGTGAGATATTTACCTCAGGCCTGTCGTGCTCGATATGTTCTAGAACAAAGCAATCAGTATTTCCATTCTTGAAGCTGCCTTCATATTTAATTATAAAGTTTTTCCCCCTGAATTATAAAGTCATTTTCATAGAAATGTCACAAATTTTAAAAACTTGACCGGCAATGCAAATGCTCAAGTAATATTTCTGAATAATCCTTACCCAAATCGTTCGAGCACTTTCAGCTCGTTAGTAACATATTGCCCGTGAGCTTTAGCATGAGGACCTGGAAAGCCTCGATGATAAAATTAGAACTTTTTACTTCTGAAAGATCACTGCTTGTGTCATTCATGAACAGTGAAAACAAAGTAGGATTTTCTAATATATCATGGTGAATAACATGGATTGAATCTAAGAAAAGGGTGGCAAAACTTTTTCATACTGTATCGTTGACAATGCCACGGCAATCAAATAAATTTCTTGAAGTTGCCGAATGGGAGTACTAATAATTACACCACGAAGCACATTATATAATTATTTCTCACAATATAAATGGCCATAGGGGCGAAAAAAAGGAATGCTTAATCTAATTTTATGGTGATAAGTAATGTGCTATGAACAATGAAGCACTGTCAAATTTGATAGTGAACAATGTTCATGCCAAATATGCGTTGGACGAATGTATTTTACATAATGTGATACTCAATAAGGAAACACTTCAATTTTTATCACGTTGCTATGTTTGTTTCCTCATTAATGTTGTGTCAGTGTGCTTCTCAGATTTTTGGCACATCTCAGTCAACAAAGATTATGTAGTCCCTCAAAGTATGTTATAATCAAAATTTTAGTCATAAAGAATTATAAATTAGAAAAAGCCAATGATTTAAGAAGTAGAAAGGTATGATTTTGATGTAGTATACATTTAATGGCAACCGTGGCTCCATCACTCTTCCTCCTTGCCTTGTAGACAACGCCATAAGCACCTGCAGGAAAAAATTTAATAGAACAAGAACAGTCAATAAATTTATACACCCAAAATAGAGTCGGATCATGTGGATGAAGCAGCCTAACCAGGAACGAATCAACGTTTTAATACCTGAGCCTTCTTCCTCTTCTACAATGTACGATTCAAATGTTGGAAGCTCTTTACGCTCCTTTTTATCCTACATAACAGAAATCAGTAGTTATTCATCAGAAAAGCTTCGATTCAACTTATGTATTGACTTGTAGAGAAAGCTAAAGGTGAATTCCCAACATAGTTGTGTAAATATATCTCAGGCAAAAGTTAACAAGATAGCAGTGTTTCAAATTTAAAGCATACCTCAGGAGACGTTGAGTGTGAAGTTCCCCTTTTTTCCTTGACATGCATGGCACTGCAATTCTTTTTCTGTCCCTTGCCCAATGATGCCTGACCTCTACAAAAGTCCCGTTTCTCTTCATTTTGTGAAGTTTTGGACCCGTCTTGCAGATTAGGAACAGTTGCATCGCTGGGCATGGCATTCGTCTTCAAAGAGGATTGAGAAAACTTGCGTAAAGAAAGGGGATCCGCAGATAAGTCCATATTTTTCACATCTGCAGCCATTGACTTTTCATTGAAATAGTTAACTTCATCACGATTTTCATTAGGAATCCTTCCAGCTTCACCTTTGAGCGGCATTTCTGAACAAGTGGTATTTGATGGCTGTATCATGTTTCCAAGAGGCTTTGCGCCACCGGAACTCATTAACCACGACGTCTGCTGACATTCCAAGGATATTTTGCTATCACCTATTCTAACGTTTGGACCTACTTCATTGCAATTAATTGTGTCATCCACCAACGGAGGCATGTTGGTAGATTCAAGATCTTTAAATGCGCCATTGACACTTGTCCTGCTTTCGAAAGTCTCCTTCATTTCAATTACCTTGCACGGATCTGAACTTTCGAGTAAGTCAATGCTTATAGCGCCATTTGACTGAAGAATAATCTGGAGGAAGAACATGATTACATTGTCATGAAAGACCACTTCAGTGTCAGAGATGAGTTCAAATTGATACAATATAATTAACCCTTAGTTACTTCAAAAATTAAAAACGCAATTCTAGCTGGTAAGTAACCGAGAAAACAAATTACCCGAGAAGAATCATCGCAGATTCTCTTCGGACTGAGCATCTTCATTTGATCCAACTCATCTACTGCATCGCCATTCAAATGTACCAATAAAATTAAACAAAAACACACACTAAAACGGACATAATCAGAACAAACCAAGAACGGAGTAACTTGTTACCATGTTGAGAATGACAAGTTATCCCTCTTTTTGCCACGGGAAGAAAATCAGACTCTAAAATAAACCTTCGTTTCCGTTTTCTACAGCTATTTCCCCAACCGTCCGTTGAGGAAACTCTGATTCCAAACCTAGGTATAAAAGAACTACCAAAAAAATCGGTTACGGAGATAAAGCGTCCAACAGCGACTATAGCAACAGCAGAGAGAGTGACATGGAAATCGGAGGTCAACAAAATGGGAGATTCGGGGATCGAGCATAGGAACTCAACTAGCTCAGGGGAAGCAGTGACTAAATTGCATCGAGAAGCAAGGTCGGCGGGATGAGCTGGGTGACCGAGGGATAGAAGAAGAGACGCCAAGTGCCAGGCGATTTCGGACTCAGTGGAGGTCGAAGCATCGAGAAGTGGGGCGGCGATGAGAGATCCCATCGGATTGCTTGAAACCGACAATGAATGAGAAAGAATGAGCGAAGGTCTTTCGCAGAGATGGAAGAAGGATAGGCGCGGGAAGGAATGAAAAACGTTTGGGTTCAATATTTCGTATATGTGCCAAATCCCGCCCATTGTGAGTTCTTTCACTTTTTCCTTAACCGGTTTCGTTAGAAATATAAAATATTTTTAATTAAATTTTATTTTTTTAATAAAATAATTGCTTGTTTTTAAATTAACTCTATCTTTTTATATTTATCCTTATTAAATATTCTAAAAAAATAATTTATTCCATAGAGACATTTTAAAAACAAATATAATAATTAAACTTTTAAAAATATAAAATATCTTATATTTTTTTAATAGAGGGAATAAGTATTTGTTTGGTCTTTTAAATATATTTCAATTTCAATTTTTTACTTGTATTTTAAAATTTTTTGAATTAATTTTTGTACTTTTAAACATTTCTGCATTAATCTTTATATTTTTTGAAGTTAGATTGTAAGAATATAAACAACGAAAAAGTTGAAAGAGTAAGAGTGGAGCGTGGTATAAAGCCCATCCTATCCTATGAAGTTTTATTGACTAATTTTTTAAAAATAAAAAAATTAGTTGATTGGAAAAAATGTTTACAATTTTCTTAAATTATAATTAAACTAAGAGTTAAAGAAAGGCATTCTTGAAAATATATCATTTATATTTTATTAAATTTTGTATAAAAAAAGTCTTATATCAAAAGTCAATAGATAAAGTCTTATAAATAGGATTTTACAAGTTTGAGTAAGGAATTAAGAATTAAAATAAAGTCAGTAATAAGACGAAGAAATGATGAAAATGTTAGAAAAGAAAAATAGAGAAGTGACAAGATAAAAAAAAACACGGAATAATAAAAATAGATGTCTGAGTTTACATTAGCGTAAAATATTAAATGCCGCGTGCGTTTGTGAGATTAATAAAAATAATTCAAAATCAATAAGCTAATATTGATTCTCGGAAGCCGCATATGGAATATGAAACATTAACATAAGTGATTTTTTTTTTACCTCAAATATTAGCAAATAAATTAAACCTAACTGAAATTTAAAATCTTACTGCTTTTTGTCTTCTTAATAAGTCACTTACAACATTTTGCTAGAATTAAAAAAGCCTTAAATTTTATTAATTTTGTCTAAAAATTTAATAAGTTTCTAGCTTTATTCCATTAAATATACCTGCTTTAAAATAAAATATTATAGAATTTAATAAGCTTTTCAACATTTAATACGGGCATAATGATAAAAATGAACATAATCATAATTAAGATACTTTACAAATAGGAACAAAATAAATATTCTTTTTTTAACTTATAAATAAGATTAGAGGAGTATATCAACATGCATGTATAGAGTGTCAGCATATAAATTAAGCAATATCACTACTTCTATTCCCATTGCATCTAAGCCAACACCAAAATTCTCATTTACAGAGTTGTTTTGTAAGGCCAAGGCTTCCAAACTCTTTTGGCAAACTCATATTTAGAGTCGAGAATAAAAATTAAGCCTTATATGCTACCTATTTAAATCAATTTTTATAAAAGTTTGGATTTTAAAAAAATAGCATTTTTAGGAAAATTAAAATTTGAAACCCAACCTTAATAAGCCTTGTAAAAATGAGTTCAAGCTCGAGTAGTATTTGTAGGCCCTTTTTCACTTTAACTTTAAAAAAATATTTTTTTTTCATTTTTAAATTGAATTTAGATTTTAAAATATATGTTTAAAATTTAAAATTAGATTTTATATTATTTATTTATAATTTTCTAATATTATACTTTGTATTTAAAAAAATATGAAATAATTGAAAATTTTAATTTTAAAAAAATCCAAAAAATACAAAAAAAGGTGACGAGCTCATCCTTGAGCCCACTAAATAAAAATTGAGCTTAAAAAATTAATCAATTTTTGAAAAAATCAAATTTAAGGGATTAAATCCATAAAAGCCGAGCTCATATGGGCCAAAGTTTCCACCACTACTCGCATCCCTTCAGCATAATAGGAACATTACTTGCCTTTTGATATGTTTTTTTCCAATATCAAATCTTAGCAATTTATATTTAATACTTTAACTGATACATTCAGATTTAAGTAAATAAATTTAAATTGTTAAAATTTAATTTAAATAATTGATAGATGATGTTTAAAAAACTCAAAGCAAATATGAAGAGAAGAGTTCGACATATGCAAAACTAAAAAAAATAAAACATAATTTTCGTTTGAAGTACAGTGAAATGGCATTTGTTACCTATTAAATAATTTAATATCATTAATACTACATCATTATTCCTCTGAATATATTTAAAAATAAAAGAACTAACATTATATGCGAAAAAAGCTAAAGGATTTAAAGCAATGGAAAAAAAAAATACATGACTAAAAACTAAAAAGACTAAAACTATAAAACCAATAGTTATATTTTTCCCTAAAATAATGAAATATTTGTCCATTGACAAATTGATGCTAACAACATTGTCAAAGAAAGCAATTCCTTCGTCGGATCCAATTTGGTCAGGGCAAGGTTAAATATTCCAAATTTTATTCAGATCCAATTCAAATCTTCTTGACTGTACTGATGCAAGCTGGGCCTCGTGTCTAAACGGGAGAAGATGCTTCAAATTAATTAATAAATATATTATGGGGAACAAATCAGCGGAAATAAAGATCCATTCAACAGAAATTTACAATGTGAATAACAGGGGAACGTCCGCAAATAAAGATTCTGAATAGCATGTATGAAATCATTCAGTAGATGGAGAAAACCCAGCAGGTGATGTAAATTCAGTAGATTGTGAAGATCTTCCAGAGCCAAGTTTCAAAACCCAGCCTAGTAAAAGCCCAATAAGACCTACAACAATGGCGAAGGTGAGGGAAAAGCCAGGATCGTTTCTTTTTCTTTGCCTTTTCAGCATGTCCTGCACATGGAGAAGACTCTCGGATTAGTGATTTTGTAATAACAGTAATCATCCATGTGGCAGACAACAATTACAGATCAAACCAATGCACAAACACTTGTTTGACCGCTGAAAGTTCAGAGAGTGTTAGGTTCTACTAACAACTTTGCCTCCTTTACATCTCATGACCAGTTACAATCCTGCTTAAATTGATTCCCTATCACAGTATGGAAATACAGGTTATCCCGCCTGGTTGAACCAGAAAAAACTGTTTAACCATTAAACCGATATCTTAACAGGTTTAAGCAAATTTTTATTTATGACTAATTTGATCATGGTTCAACTACAGTTCTAACCATTAACCCTTGAATTAGTGTCTTGACAAGTTCAATAACTAGTTCAGCTTTCATTACCTTGCTCCCTTCTCATCCCCCCCCCCAAATAGCATCTCTCTCTACAAGCCTCTCCAAGCTTTTACATTCTGCCCAATTTCTATAGAGGTGTAATGCGAGGAAGCTTGCATAGTTACCAATTCTTGTTTCAGTTGGACTGTTTGTTTAGCAGCAGCATCTCTTTCTTCCTTCAAGCGCTGTAAAACCTGACCCATCACAAAAAGGAAAAGTCAATTCAAGCATATCTAGCTAATATTAACTACAATAATGCGGCCTAATGAAGTTGCAACATGGGGTAAGAAATTCTATAGTGCAGCAAATGATTCACGATAATTTTGAGAATTCGCCAGAAAAAACGTGAACAAACTCTGGTGAGAACAAGTAGGGACGTGTAAGAAGAGGATAAGGGAACAAGGTTACTACCCCATATGGCTACTATAAACTATACTTTGATAGAGCGCATATAAAGCCAACCTAGGCCCACAACTTGGGGAAGCTGTTATCCAAAGGTCTGGAAATTGAGAAACAAGTTCCTGGAAAATTTAGGCAACACAACCAACATGACTGCAGAAGCTTGGCTTCTTCTTGCATTGCAGCTGCAGCATCATATTCTGCCTATTATTGTCGACTTGGATGCCTTAGTAGTAGTGAAAATGACGAGAAATGCAGACAAAGCTCAAATTTTGCATCTTCTAGTCTCATATCTCATTGAGGACGCTACAGAGCAGCAAGAGTAGGCTGAAGTGGGGCCACATTTTTGGGGAAGTCAAATGAATACCTGAAGTTGTTGGGGTTTTTTAGGCCAATTGCCAATATTTCTGCCATATGTCTCATGATAATTATGCAGTTTTGGATTCTTTTCCTATTGATGACGTTTAATTCCTCATGGATAATTGAGTTACGACTTCATTTTATTTAATCTCATTCTAATATTTTTTTTTACAAAAATAAATAGATAAAACATATGCAGTACTTCATATGCTTTCAGATATGACCTCAGGAATGTGTTTTTAACTTTGATATCAGGAATTAAATACCCTAACAAGTAACAAGCAATAAAAAGCATGTTCAAAATAAATATTCAAAGAAAATAATATGCAAGAAATTCGATATCCCATAACCATATTTGAGATTAAGTTACCAAAATTTTGTAGAAAATGAAATACCAAGGGAAACTAAGATTCCATGAAACCATATAAGAAAGTTTTCACCGACCATGGTATTCCTGGTTTCCTAAGCTTAGTTCCAAGACAAATTTGAAGAAATTTATATACCAAATGTAACCCAAAAGTTATAGTTTCCTCCAAGTACACCATGCCCTATCCACATGAATGATCACCCTAACAGGTGAAGATATAAAATGTAGCGAAGTTGAGAGCGATATGTTCATTTTCTCTTTAGCCCAGTGACCAACAGAAATCCCTTTATTCTATTGTAACAGGGTTTTGTCATTGCAAATATGTGAGATTGGTTGCGTTTCTATGATGAAAAAGATAGCTCAAGACATTAACTTATCAAAACTGAGAAGAAGCATGCAAAAGGATCTGCAAAATAAATGATGTGATAACACTACTCACAGCATTGTCATCATTTTTTTGTGTAGCGCCCTTTGATGCCTCATCTTCTGAGGCCGATGTATTAGTGACATATACAACTCTTAGTTTGCACTCCTCTACTGAGTTTCCACTATCCTTATTAAACTGCAAGCCAAATAATAAATACCACTTCAGTATTGCGAATTAAAATAATAAATTTGACATTGTGAAATAAGGGCAGTGCTGATTTTCTTACAGTTTCTGGTGGAAGCTCATCAACATCAGCAATTGCACCCACAATTGTACTCTGTAAGAGAAACTTGTCTTTGCATTGCATATCCGGAGGATATTCTTGTTGGGCTTGGAGGGTGACTGTACAAACCAAAAATTGGAGAATATGATTAATGGTAAGATCCCAAAAAGCATTAAATTCTCAAGATTTGTTTGAAGCCAAGTACTGCCGGTAATTTGAGACATTCAAACTTCAAATATGTATGACACATTTGAATAAGATACTAATTACAGATTCACCTCAGAAATGTGGCAGACAAACTTCCATATTTATGACATTGGATTAGTGAGAGCTGCCAGTTCCAAAGCTCACCATTTTAACTTATTTTTGCATTTTCTTCAGATGATGATTTAGAATTTTATAATAAATTCCTTTGCTGGGATATCTCCTGAACCTTAACGTTTCACGTCATAAGGGATAATGATGGAAGATGTTGCAGAAAAAAATATAAAAGCCCTTAAAGCAAAAGAAGAACTTAAAAATGATTTCACAAAAGCATCACCTCTGATGATACATAAGTCCCAGGGCTGTATAACACCAGTATTTGGTCGTACAAAGTACTTCTTAGGTGAAGTGGTTTTGACCTAGCAAAGGAAGCAAAATAGCATAACATCAAAATCAAATGTAATCACAATGCTAAAGTCAGCTGGAGAAAAGCATATTCCGCAACAAAAAGCTTGTTCCTATAGATTCGGTTAATAAATGCCTTAAAGGCGTCTCCTGAGAGAAAGAAGGGGGGTGGGGTAGGGGGGGAACAGTACCTTAAAGGCAACGTTGTGCTCTGTGTTGTTTAAAACTTTAAGATCACAAAATGCTTGCTTCTCCAGCTCAACTGTTTACATAGATTTTATGAGCATTATTATATGAGACATGAAGTTTTACACTGAAGAAAAGAGTGATGAAAGAAATTCAGATTGAAAAATTTTACATTAACATATGGTGCATATACATATAGTTTGATTCAATGGAGAGAGGGAAGGGATTTGAATGGGAAGGAGAGGGGAAGAATTTTATGGAGGGAAGGAAACAAAAGAGTGTTGGTCGGGGGAAAAAAAGGAAACAAAAGAGAGTTTAATGATCCTTCCAAATCCTCCCGCTTTTGGAGGAGAGGAATAGGAGAGGAGAGGAAAAATTCATTTTGTTTTTTGTGACGAATCTTTTTGTTTTAATCAAAAGAGAAGATGGGAGCAAACTCCATTTCTTACCCTCCAAATCCCTCCTACCGAATGCCAAGCAGAAATATCCGGAGCATAATACAATTAGACATCTTCATTTTTTAGACAGTATTCTGCATACTTCTAAAATGCAATCTTGAAAATTTGAAAAGTAGATGGAAGTTTTCGAAACAATATCCATGCAAGTTTCGCAGATAAATTAACAGCGTATATACCATTTATACCCTTGGCTCAAATTTTCCGGAAGTTAAACCACGATTTTAATTCAGAGATTTAACGAACGCAAGTTTCGCATGAAATTTCCTGACTGTGTATTCCTCAGTCGAAATGTAAATAGAATGAAAAAGAAACCGCTGAAGAAAAAAGGATACATACAATTGAACCTGAGCTCATCGGGAGTCACAGAGATAAGCTGATTCCCTATAGTAGCATTCATGACGAATCCGATAGTATAGACTAGCAGATGACTGTTATTCTGAGAGGCTAATCAATTACAGTTAACAAACACCAAAAACACGAAAGCATGCCATTCACAGGATGAGAAACTGTGGCACCGGCAAAATGGGGAAAGAGAGAGGGCTGAAAATGTTGAAGGTACAACAAGCGAGAGAATAGAGAAAAGGAATGACGATTGAAATATGTGGTGGAACGAGGGGCATGGAATACGAATGGCTCGTTCCAAATAGTGATTCGAGTTTCCAACTTTTTAGCCTCAGAGATCGCTTGCTTGGTCTGAACTCTGAACAACGCTCTCTCTCTCTTCCCCTCTGGTTATTTAGGACCAACCTCCGATGGGAGAGAGAGAGAGAGAGAGAGAGAGGCGTAAAGGGAAGAATTGTTACACGTGTCCGATTGAGATATTAATGACGTCATTTTTAGTTGTTTTGTGCCGCGACGCCGACGTTACTCATGACATCTGAAAGAAACTGAAGCGGAGTCCGTAGGTGGGTCCAGATGACGTGTCAGAAGGCCCGTTCCACGTGGCTGTGGCCCTTTTGATTCCCAGTAAGCTCTCAATTCAAGGTGAGTATTTTTCAATATTTTTCAACGAAGCTTTTACAATTTGAAGTTATAAATTTCACTTTTTTAATTAAATTTTTAAATTTTTAAATCTTCTATCAGTCTGTAATTAATTTATAATTAATTTTTAATTTTTACAATTGAGATTTCAGGATTTATAAATAAATTTTGCAATTTATAGAATTTTTAAAATTTAGCATCTACAATTAATTTTTTAATTTTTACAAATGAAATTTTAAGATTTATGATTAAGTTTTCAAAATTTACCACAAAGTTGTGGGATAGGATATTTTTATTCATTTATTTTTTAAACCTTGGTCCTTCCAAGTCATATCAATTAATTGGATTAGATGGTATTGTTGGGTCCAATCTAACTATATACATAGCTTGTTGGTGTATATTTTTTATTTTTCCTTTGCTTGGTGTTTCGTTGGGACAACTCTAAATAGAAAGTTTATTCAGAAGCAACAATTAATTCTCATTATGCATCTTTAGGTCTTGATTTTACTTTCAACCAAGAGTTGGGTTTTAAATAATCTTGTTAGATATGATTAAAATAAGATTAAAATCATATGAAGTCCAACCATATTACCCAACAATTCAAGAAAGCATGCAACAGAGCAACTCAATAACAAAGCTATGAGTTTACAAGTCACCTAGCTTGTAAGAATTGTTATATATACATGAGATAGGAATAGGATTGTCTTTAATAGCCACTGACCACATCAATAAAACCACAATCAGATAGATTATATGCAACAATCTAAACCCAAATGACTATTTCAGAGAATGTAGTCTCAATGCTGAGCTTTTCAACAAGTAAAGAACATTTATATAACATGTTCGACATGAATGCAGGCATAAAGATGTCCAAGCTAAACTTGAATAATAATGTCTGTATAGGATGAAATTCTATTGATACTCATGATTTAAAAGCAAACGAAGGAAATTTGAAAAATCTAATTGTCCCACAGACTTCCTTTTCTAACAAAAAGGTGAGTTAGCTGGAAAATTCATGAGAAGCACTAACCAAAATTTTGGTGAGAAATGAGAAGCACCGAGAAGCAGAGCAACTGTTTCTGCTGGCCGAGAAGCTGAGAAGCACCGAGAGGCTAAGAAGTTGAGAGAGACGATCACAGAGAGGGCAACAGAAAGATGAGACCGAGAAGCTTGGCTGAGTAGTAGAAAGACCAGATGAAGAAGCTTGGATGAGACCGAGAAGCAAAAAGACGATACTCTGATTGGAGATAATGGTAGGCACAACAAACTTTGAGTGTTCTTTTGAAAAACTTGACTAGCGTGGGGCTAAAAAATTGAGTGGGAAGGAGAATGCATGTCTCCCTCTTCAAGGGGGACGTGGCTTCTGCAAAAACCACTTCCCTCTGGAGAAGGGGACATGGCTTCTGTAGAAGCCACATCCCCCTTGAAGAGGGAGATGTGGCTTCTTCACAATCCACATCCCTCTCCTTAAAGGGGACGTGGATTCTGAAGAAACCACATCTTTCTTGAGTGGGGGACTTGGATTCTGATAAAGCCACGTCCCCTCAAGAATTAAGGAAACGTGGCTTATTAAAAATTTGTTGTTAAAATTAATTTTTTTCAATTTACATCCTCTTTTTACTTGGATGATATGGGTTGTGTTCTTTTTAAATCTAACTTGTAAAATGGGACGTAAATTAGGGTAGTAGAAATGCCTTTTTGTAGTAGTGAGTAACAAGGATATTATTATTGGTTAGAATAATGAAGATGGGGTTTTAGTTGCCGCATGCGATAGCATACACGGGAACTAATATTTATAGTCTAACATGTGCTCAATGATTACACCAAATGTGTTTCGTGTTATTTTGCACCAGAAATAATCCTAGTAAGAAGAAAATGCTGATTAGTGTTCTTAAACTCAAACCAAACCAAACTACTAGTGAACGTGATTGGCAAGCTGTGTAGATGCTGGAGTTCCAATGAGTTCAGCCATCAGATCTTGGGAAATAAGGATGGAATCTCGAGTCACAAAGTAAGAAACAAAGGAATCTCGTAGTCTTCAAGTTTGAAGAGTAGAGATTCAAAGACGACACTGATGAAAGGTTATAGAGGTAATCTTGCAGTCTTTGACTCGTAAAGAAAAAGAATCTCACATTCTCGATGAATCTGATCTTGGCAATTAAAATAGGGAAGAAGAAGAGCTCAGGTAAAGCTGTCATCGCCGTTGATGATAGAGGAAGATAAAGATAACGATGAAGAGGTAGGGGAGGAAGATGAAACCATACGGCTGCGAGGACTAAGATGATGAAGAGGTGAAGAACTAGCTTGCATGGTAGTAGTCAAAAAAAATTTCCGCACATGTGGCATTAAACTGTCGGCCCATTTGACCAAATTAACACCATTAGCTATTTTCTGTTAGTGTAAGGCAACAATATCACATTTTTAAAAACGTGGGAGGCAACAATGTGCCTTTTAAAACATAAAGATACCAATTGCACCTGTTTGAAAATGTTTTGGCTAGATTTGTATCTTAATCCAAAGGAAAAAAAAAAAAAGAAATCAAACTTTTTTGACCAATGGAAAAAGAAAGCAAACTTTCAAACAAAGTACAAGTAACTTTCAAGCAATTGCATGTTTTAAACAAGAAAAAAACAAGCAAAATAGTCGTTTATTAGATTTGCGCTTTATAACTATGTTTTGTTTGACCCAAAAAAAAAACCTCTGTTTCATTAGATTATATGTCGTTTACATATAAATGTTCTATTTACTTGTAGATTGATGTCATTTTAATTTAAATATTATTCCTTTTGGGTTGTATATGTATATTTTTATATATTTTAATTATAAATGAGTTAATATAAATTCAACCATAGTTATATCGTTGACTATTAAACTATTGTCTTAATCAACTCCATGATAGAAATAGTTTTTCATACTTTGGTTATTATAGGGAAATCTCCATGCAATGTATACCAAGAAATTCTATTTGAGATTATCCGTATAATATTACAAGTGAAATTAGATACAAGATGTTAAAAATTTACGATATTGAATCAAAATATAAAGAAGAAGAAGAAATAAGAATACACTATTCTATGAAGTTAAAAAAAAAACTGAAAATTTTCTCAGCAGTATTTAAATCTTTTTATATTTCTTTTTGAGGTTTGAAAATTTTTTACACACATGGGATAAAGGGAAAACCAATGTCATGAGAATTAGACTGAATTGGCTAGTTCAATAGGGTGAATTAGAAATCAATCCTTAGTCCAATTCAGTTATTGTTGAAAATCGCACAGCCAGAGAACGAGTTGAACTAGTCTCAAATTGATCATAATTGGTAGGTGAACCATGAACTAGTTGAATCGATCATGTTATTTTTTAGAATTTCAATTCATATTTATGAACTACAATTGACATATTTATACCTAATAAGTATTGATAAATGAAAAGAATGAACAAATGTGCAAGAAACATGTATATATTTTAAAGGGTTAATATGTAATTTGGACCCTAAATCATAGGTTTAGGGGTGATTTGAATCATAAATTATTATTTGATACTTTTTAAACTTTAAACAATTAATATTAGTGTAATTTCACTCTCACTATTAAATTAAAACAAATGTTTGTTATTCTTTTTTTAAATGAGGCCTAATGTGTAATTTTTTTCAAAGGAAGGGAGAAAGAAAGAAAGTAAAATTTGATAAAAATTACATATTAAACCTCATTTTTAGAAAAATAACAAATGTTTGCTTTAGTGTAACAGTGGGAGGCAAAATTGCACTAATTTTAATTGAGAATTTAGGATGTATCAAATAAGAGTTTAGAGTTTAAATTGTTCTTGAACTTATAATTTAAAGTCTAAATTACATATTAATTGTATTTTAAAATTTTAAATTTAATTTTTGAAATAAATATATCTATTTTGAATTAAAATGATGAGATAATGATGGATGATTACTTTTTTATCTTATACTATTTCATTAAATTTAAAAATTCATTTTTATTATCATATATAATTATTTTTTTGTTTTAAACATATATTATTTAAAATGTATTAATTTATTCATAATTAGCCAAACCATGACTCAAATTACAATCTGACTATTGAATTATAAACTAATATTTCAATTGATTCAATGACTATTTTGATTTTTTTAACATTGAAAAGAAAAAACACACTAGTGTTAACCGCAATAAAACAGGAAGGAAAAATTAAAGAATTACAAAATTAAAATAATGAAAAACATATTGGCCATGGTAATTACTTGAATTTGGTCCTAAATTTTAAATATAATTTTTATTAATAAATACTATTTGATATTTAATATTATTGAATATGAATTAAGTATTATCAAACATAGTAAAAATACCTAAAAAAAATTTTTAGTCTCATCATTATATAATTTAATTCTTTCTTCGAATAAATCTGAAGCAAAAAATTCTGCTTGAAAGTATTTGTTTTGAAAAAAAAATTTCAAACTCAAGATCTTCTTACTTTTATTGATTTAAGGGGTAGCTTATATTTGAAGTTAATTTTCCCATGCTCATAATTTTTTTTTTTGGCAAATTTCATTATAAGGGTTATCACTCATCACTTTTATTTGTATGATTTCCGCTTAAAATAAAAATTATTTCTTCCAGATCAGATATCTTGTAAAATATCTATTTGATCCAAAATATATAATATTAAGTGATTTTTATAATTTTTAACCATATTTTTACTTACTCCCTCTGTTAAAAAATATAAGACTTTTTAATTAAATTTCATCCTTAATAAAATAGTTACCTACTTTTCAAATAATTCTATCTTTTTATATTTACCCTCATTAAATATCTTACAATAAATATAAAGTCATTATCAATAATGACACTTTAAAAAAAATAATGGTTACACTTTAAAAGATTAAAAATATCTTCTATTTTTTAATATCGAACTCCTTAAAATGTATCTTATATTTTTAAATAAAGGAAGTATTTATTATTTTTTTAACTGGTGCATTCAAAATATATAAAATTATTTAAGGATTAATGTTCCATCTAATTTTTTGTTCCAAGTAACGTGAAGCAAGGCAGTTGCCACTTGCCAATGCTCGGCGTGTGATTTTTTTTTTAAAAAAAGTAGTTAACGATCATGACACGTGGTAACGTCGAACAGTCAAAAGCGCGAACCAAATGCCACATGTAACCGCCAAAACCTTCCACCGTACTCACAGAAACAAATACGACCTCCTGAGAAGCCTAAATGAAGGAAAGCATTTCAATTTTTCAGAAACGGTCTTGCCTCTCTGCTCCGCTCTTCTCGCTTTTCCTCTTCTCACTCCCTTCCCTTCCCTTCCTTCTCCCCGGTGTCTGTCTTCTCTTTCCTGCAAATTCCTTCTGACTTCGATCAACGCTTCAACATTCACCGAATGCATAATTCTGATCATAAATTGTAATTTGGCTTATTCCTTACGATGCCCCCGCCTGGTTCTCTTGGATCAAGGAGACCCCCTCCTGGGTTTTTAATCATCAGTGGCGCGAGATGGAAACTCAAAACGTATAGATACATTGTTTTGTTTGTTACATTTGTAGCTTACGTTTGTTTCCATGCTTCCAGAAAACCTACCGGTATAGTTAAGAGTGTGCTCTACCCTGAAACCAATGGCCATATCACCGAGCACAAACCCTGGCCAATGGGCGAGGTGTTCGTTAAGGATCGGGGAATTGTTGGTAAGAAGAGTGATGGGTGGGCCCCCTTTAATGAACCTGATGGGACGTCGAAATTGGGCGAAATTGATGTTGCGTTTCTCGCATGTTACTCAGTGGGAATGTATGTTTCTGGGCATTTGGGGGACACTCTTGACCTTCGTTTGTTCTTGACTATGGGGATGATTGGTAGTGGAGTGTTCGTTGGCCTTTTTGGGATGGGCTATTTCTGGAAAATTCATGCCTTCTCTTTTTATCTAATTATGCAAATGATTGCTGGATTGTTTCAAGCAACGGGTTGGCCTTCTGTTGTTGCTGTGATTGGTAATTGGTTCGGCAAGAGGAAGAGGGGATTGATAATGGGTGTTTGGAATGCTCACACTTCAGTTGGCAACATAAGCGGCTCTCTTCTTGCAGTTAGCGTCTTGAAATATGGATGGGGGTGGTCTTTCATCGTTCCAGGAGCTTTGATCATATTTGGAGGATTATTTGTTTACTTGTTCTTGGCTGCTTATCCTGAGGACGTAGGTTTTGCTTCGACACATGGCTCAGATTCGGACCTATTAGCGGCAATCCATCCTGATGAAGAAGCTCAAATAATGAAAGAGGAAGTGACCAACGTGGCTTTATCACCAGAGTCACTACGTACCTTGAGTGGCGCTTCAGTACGTAAGAAGAGTGTTGGGCTCCTTGAAGCATGCTTTATACCAGGAGTTATACCATTTGCCTTGTGCCTTTTCTTCGCCAAGCTTGTTGCCTACACGTTTCTGTATTGGTTACCATTTTACCTGAGTCAGACGGGTAATTATTATGAACATGCTTCTTGGTTTACCTTATATTGGGAATATACTAAAGTTAAATGAGATTGCAAAATTACATAAGCAAATGACGGTTAGAGAGTTGGTCAGTCCTGGACCGAGCGATTTTCGAATAAGTAATGAAATTGTTGGTACTTGATTCCCACATACTAGGGAGTTTTTGATTCTGCTCTTCCACATTAACTATCCATATTCGTAGTCTAGGTACAGGTGATTGGAGATGGTCGCGTTCTGCTTAAGCTTAGAGCATTTGCGATCACCCAACCTTTTGGTTACTAGGATATCTTTTTTCGCCAAGTTGCTTCTCACATAGTGATGTACGCTTCCAACTTGACTGACAATCCAACGGAGTCTTCTCTATTCATGTGTTCCTTCATAGTTGTCTATGACTGGAATTGACTGAGAAGTGGACATTTATGACCCAATGCTGGGCACATGGATTGTAATCATTATTGTAGCAGGATTATCTCTTGTGGATATTGATCGCATATATTTTTTTCTCCCTTTTTGACAAAGTGGCAGCAGAATGAATTTCCTTTAGTTTCCCTCTTCAAAGATCTGAATATAATCTTAGGGCGGCCTTTTGTAATCCCCAAAACATGGTTCCTTTATATGGAAGCTGGTTAAAAATTTATGAGGTTGCCTCTTCTACTATCATTTAAGTTGCCAACTCTTAGGCAATGTAAACTGCATCTTTTAGCTTAAAAGAAAAAAAGAAAAGAAAAAAGAAACTGCGTCTGTCATGACTCATAAATCATCATCAATCGTGGGGGTCTTTTGTCTTGTACTCTTCTCTTGTGCTTGTAATACAGTGTTTACCTTGTACGAAGGTCGAATTTGTTATTTTATTCCTTTTGATGATCTTGCAGAAATTGGTGGAGAGTATGTCTCTGTTGAATCTGCTGGCAATCTCTCTACTTTGTTTGATGTAGGGGGTATATTTGGAGGTGTTCTTGCTGGCTACATATCTGACAAACTCAATGCCCGTGCTACCACTGCAGCCAGTTTCATGTATGCTGCAATTCCTGCTATGCTTTTATACAGAATCTATGGAAGTATTTCTATGAATGTCAACATTGCACTTATGGTGGCCACTGGACTGCTTGTGAATGGTCCTTATGCACTCATCACCACTGCTGTTTCCGCGGACTTAGGAACACACAGTTCTCTTAGAGGAGATTCTCGTGCTCTAGCTACAGTTACTGCCATAATAGATGGCACCGGATCAGTTGGAGCTGCTCTTGGTCCTCTTCTTACTGGGTTCCTTTCAACAATGGGCTGGAATGCCGTTTTTGCTATGTTAGCACTTGGGGCTTCTACTGCTGGGCTTCTTTTATCACGTTTGGTCATAGCTGAAATTGCAGCAAAAAGTCGCAGATCAGAGCCTGTGTCCATTGGGCAGCAATATTCTGGAGGTAAATCTCCAAATATTAAATATTTATTGTTAGAAAAAAGGGTTAATTGCTTAAACAAATTCGTTTAAGGAGCTTCTTCTAAGAAGACATGTAATCATGGGGTTTTATTCTTCCTTCTCTTGCACTGGTTTTATCAATCTATTGTTTTGCTCATGGCAGTATCTATTCCATATAGAGTAGTCACCGTCTAATAGAAACTCCAGAGTTCAGACCCTGGTGAGTCTAGGTATAAATTATTGAAATTCTGAATTGAAGCAATTGAATTTAGCATGCTAGGAAGATCAGAGCATTCTTCTTTAGATTTGAAGTGAAGTTTTTTCCATGTACGAGTACGTGTGAAGAACCCAAAAAAAAAAAAAAAAAAAAGCACACTCATTTTTTATGTATCTGTTGAAGCCATGTCAAGTCCAATGCTTGAATTGTGAATTTGTTCGTTTGACTATCCGAGTAATGCTTATAGCATCCTGGACTAACTGGTGATTTTTTTTTTTTTTTGGAAGCCTCAACATCTCAACCATTGCTGAGTGAGGAAAGGTGATGCTCATGTTTGAGACAATGAACCTTCAAAGATACTGCTCAACACCAAGATTGTAATGAGAAAAAGAACGGGGAAAGATTTTGTCAGTGGCTCTTAACTGCAGCTTGCAGTCATTTAATTCATTATTCGACTTCATCAGTTTGTCTAGATTCTACCGGGTTCCAAATTCCAAACGTGATTTCTGTTCACCATGAAAAAACTTCTTCTCTGGGGATACATGGAGGATGATTGCTTTTGCTTGTTATGACCTCTTATGTCTGTGTATCCAGTAAGTTTTATTATTTTCTGGTTCTAGACCGACTGATTTAGACAAAGGCAAAGTTCCTATCTTGTCCTAGCCCAAACCCCGCTTAACCCCCAAGCTATAACTTGTTATCATCAGCTTTTGAAAAACAATGTTGATACTTGTAATATGAATGCTTAGAATTTGAATAGCATATTCATGAGCTATATTTCAGTACATTTCAGTTATGATACTTGCATTTAATTTGTCGAGAATTAAAATCGGCTCAGTATCTGTTACCATCATCTTTCTCATCTGCATCTCAGTTTTAAGATGATAAATTCTAGCCAGGGAAGTAATGTTTAGCTGCTGGATGAAGGTGGAAGAGGGATTCAAATGTTAAATCTATATTTTCTTGTTTATTGACAAATAAATAAAAGAAGTTTTGGGGAATGCATTTTCTGCTGGTGGTCCTAAACTCCTAATGTGACCTGTGAGTGATAGAGGGACAACATAACATAGAATACATTTTCATGTGACCTGTGATATAACATAGATAAAATCCATCTCCCTCGATGATAGAGGGACAACATAACAGAAACTGAGGCGTCAACTAAAGAATGCTACTTTTAATTTGATGATGATTTTTACATTTCATAATACTATAGAATGATGACTGTCATTCATTTCTTGATTTAGTTTATTTCAATTTGGTCTTTTTTTCATGCAAAAAACAAAATAAATAAATAAATAAAGAAAATTAATATACGGAATAGTTTTAGCTGGTCTGACCCAGAAAGGCAGGAAAGCATATTAAAGCTATGAGTTGGAGAATGTATACCCTGCAGTGTATGGCGATAAGCCGGGCACTTGCATTTGAATGTGCAATGAAAGGGACAATAAGTTGTTCTGCACCAACCTGTCAACAGCTGTGTGGTATATCTACAGGGTAAAAGTACGTTTTTATCACTGAAGTATTTTAAGAAGCATTAAGTACTCTAAATTATTTGTTGGAGTAATTTTATTCTTCAAATAATTAAAATGGAACATTTTTATCTTTGCTATTAGATTCCCAACATTGTCTGTTAAAAAGTTTGTACTCCAACGTTGAGAATTTGATGTTAAAGATAAAAATACTCCGTTTTAATTATTTAAAAGGTAAAATTATTCTGATCAATAATTTAAGGTATTGGGTGCTTTTAAAATACTTTAAAAGAGAAGCACAGTCATGGACGGACATGTTACATGAGACATGTCCTTTTCCAAAATTTCAACAACATTAAATATGCCATGGATAAAAAAACAACCCATTTAGTCTCTGTGAACACTGGATTACAAGTAAACATGAGTGTTTAAAACAGAAGAATACTCAAAACTTAAAGAATTAGTTGGAGTGTGGCAGATGAAGATTCAGAGTAACCCGTAGGAAGCGGGACAAAGACAGAGAAATGCTCGGTGTCAGAGGATGAATAGGCTTGTACGATAGAGATGAGAAAGATGTTGAATTGTATAATGTTATTGTAGGTATGGGGTCACTGTGTCCTTACTTTTTATTGCCCTTACTTAACCCACCACATGGTGCCACTTATCTTCATCATCATGGTCACCACTTCTTCCTCTTTCTCCATATTCAGTTAATCACTTACCGTGTATAATGTGTAGAATAAAATATACATGTTTGTGTTATGTGTCGTCAGCCACTCATTTCTTTCTCTTTCTCTATAGTATTATCCTTTTGCTGCCTTGGATTCTTTCCGCTTTACCCTCCATTATTTGCATGTCAAGACTGAGATTCTATATTCAATTCACTCTCTTTTTCTTCTGCTCTTTTCTTAATCTCTCTCATAATAATGATAACAAGCAAAGCATTTGTTTAATGGTTTTTCTATTTTGGGAGTAGGTTTAACTGTGAGATTAACTTACTCAAGTTTGTCTTGGAGTAATTATAAAAGAGATAAAAGGATACTGTAGCTTTATAATATGAATGGCTTCATTTGCGAAGAGGCATGTTTGGTAGTTGTAATCCAAAGTCTTCAACTTTAATTTCATAGTTAACACCCGAATGCTTATTCGGATTCTGTGGATGCATGACCACAATCACAAGATGCTTCCTCCACTTAAAATTCACGCACGCTCTTTCTCAATACGTGTCAAACTCATTCTCAAGGATCGAATATTCTTGCATTTCAGTGTCGTGCCATTAAAGATGAGGGTTAGATTCTCTTAAACTTTCTCTAATATTTTCCTCCTATTTCTCTCTCTCTCAACCACTTCTTCCCCTGCTCTTCTCCAGAACCACTCACTCTGCCTCTGCCTCTGCCTCTGCCCCCCCCCCTCTCTCTCTCCGTGCTTTCTGTGTCATTCAAGTTTCTTTTTCTGTGTTCTGTCATGGCGCTTGCACGTGCCATGCTCGTGCTAGCCATGTCCTTGGCTCTGGTAGCATTCACTACAGGCCAAGCCCCTGCCTCTGCACCCACCACAATGCCGCCTTCCAGCACCATGTCGCCGCCACCTCCAAAGGCGGCTCCTGGGCCTGCCACCTCCCCTGTTTCATCTCCTCCATCATCACCAAGTTCCCCCAGCCCAGGCCCGTCCAGCAGCACCACCGCTCCCCCACCTTCACCCCCAGCTCCTTCTCCTGAGTCGCCATCACATTCATCAATGCCGGCGCCGGCACCGGCACCCGGGTCAGCTCCATCGCCCTCAATTGGACAGGCCCCCTCTACCCCTGGCAGTGACGCCTTTGTTCTTGGAACCAGCTTCTCGATGCTAGCTTTTGTGCTTGGGGTAGCTCTAGTGTGCTTGCTTGAATAAATCATTGAAAATTGTTTTAGTTTTTGATTCCATGATGTAGATTGATGAGGACATGTATTCGTGTAGCCTTTGAGTTTCCCTTTGGTTTTGTTGCTTCATGTTCATGCATGATGATACTTGGGTGCACCATTTTTAGTGATTTTGCTTTTCATCAGGAGCTTTCATTTAGAGGTCATATCCTTTTGTCACATTGTAGCTGAATAAGAGAGGGATATGGCCATTTTTAAACTGGATTCTCTAATGTTCTGACCTTTTCTCTGGTTTTTGTCAGACCTCTGTGTGCCATGTATCTAACTTTCCTAGTAATTGATTCTAGATGTTCCAGTATTCATATGGCTCGCCCAACCTTGAGCAATGTCTGTACGTACTTGTGATTAATTATTTCCAAACCAAATTCCTACGACACAATTAACTGTTGTCAGGACTAACATAAGTCACAATTTTAATTCATTTACTTGTTGTCTTGTAGTTAGCTTGGTGTAGCAATTATTTATTTTTAGAACTGACGACGATGGATGCTTTCTTTGAAAATTCAGCAAACTTTTCTGAAAGAGGTTTTGTTTATTAAAGGAAATATAAAGGCTATTCTGCTATGAATGGGGCAGGTAAGCTTACGATGAACAGAGAGAGAGGTTAGGTGTGGTAGCTGTAGCTCTATGTGAAGAAGATAGGGTTAAACTTCAAAATAGAATGGGACTGACTGGTAGTGGAAGAATAGAAAGAAGACGACATTGGTGGGGCATAGTTCACATGCTGTGAAAGAAAGTGTTGTTCACCACTGAGACCAAGAATGCTAGTTGTTTTATTTTACTCTACCATGCCCTAACCCACAAGCCTACAACTTATATAGAGCTTTTATTAAAAGCATACTTTATATATTTTAAAACTGAATGATAATGAAAAAGCCTGTTTTTTTTTTTTTTTGGTTTTGAAAGGCAACAAGGGAATTCATCCATTGAAGATGTGTTAGGCTTTAGTTTTAGTTAGTTTTAACTTGGCTTTGATCATGTCAGTTCTGTGCCTCTCTGACTCTGTGATGTATCTGCCCAAGTGAAGCATATATGTTGTTAATTTATGTAAAGCAATCAAAGGGAAGTTGCATTTCTTTTTCTTTTTTTTTGACAGAAAAAGAGACCATTTTATTGATATTACAAACAAAAAGATATTCAAAAAGCAAAAGAAAGAAAGCAAAAGAAAGCCCAGCGTACAAGCTAAAAGAAAAGCATAAAAAAAATAAAAAAGGAAAGCAGTAAACCTATTACAACCTATATCAAAAGTAAAATAAACCTAACCAATCCTGACCTTCTCTGATCTTCAACCCATTCCACGCAAGCTTCCTCCAAAATCTTCCCTTTACCACACAGATCATCAAGCAACACAGTAGATAAAGAAGTTGGTGCTGTCTCTAGCCACCCATTAGGCCACAACTTCTTTGCACAAAAGGCTGCCACCAAGTCAGCAGCTCTATTTCCTTGTCTAGCAACAAGAGAAAACGAAACCAAAGGCTTTGATCTGGCTAGCAAAGGATGACATTCACCAAAGCTTCATAATTCCAATCACATCCTGCACAGGAATCAGCATTCAACAATATAAAAAGAACTTCACAGTCAGTCTCTACACAGACTTCCCTATCAAACCTGTCACAAAGCACCAGTGCTTCCTTAACAGCTAAGCACTCAATCATGAAAGCAGATGATGCCTCCATATTCGACCCAAACCACCAAGAAAAAGAGACCATTATGGTCCCTACAAATCAGCCCAATACCAGCAATGCCAACCTCAGGAGCCTTCCATCTCTCCCCCCCCCACCCAATTATCTTCTTTTCTTCTGCAGAAACTCGCTTTCCTACACTTAGCAACCCAGCATTCCTCCACCAGTTTGGCAGCCACCACAACTACCTCCCTGGCATCCACCATCTCCAAAGGGAAGTTGCATTTCAACAGAGCTTTTTTCCACTCTCATCTTCTTAATTATTTTAAATCTCAAAGATATAACAACTATATTATAGATTTTAAGGTTGTTCCTCTCATCTAGAGAGTGTCTGCATTGTAGTTGTAGGATTTGATCAACACTTGAAAATTCATGTTTCATTAAATAAACGTAACAATAAACTAAAAGGAAATTATATGATGATACATTTTAACCGTTTTTTTCCGGTCATATAAACTTAGATTGAGGTCTAAGGCAAAGACGCATCAAAAGATAGAGTTGTGATTTTGTGTTTTTTTTTTTAATTTATTTTGTGCTTACATTTTTTGTAACTGTTCGATTAATTCGATTATCTTTATAACATCATATGAACATTTAATAGGTGAGAGGATTTGAGATACCATCCAATTTGAGTTCCAACAATGATGAATGAGATGGGGCTTAGAATTGATTCTTTTTTTCTTTTTATCAAAGTAAATAATAAATTAAGAGAATGTTCGAACCCCACTACCACCACTACCACTAACAACATTTCGTAAAATACTGAAATTAAATTGAAAATCAAATTCCACGATTCACAATTTTAAGTGATCTCTCAACTAAGTGAAGCAGAGCAATTTCCCTTTATAAATAATATTATTTATATGATATAGCTTATTAACATCTTGAATAGGTAGCTAAGGGTAATCTGAATTTGGACTTGTTAATAGCCCCCTAAACAATTTTATAGCAATTGAATCTTTTCCACACTCTCTAAAAATTCAATTGTCTCTCTAACTTCATTTGAGCTGCTTAGTTAATCTAAACTAGAGAGAGATCATTCCTTTAATCATAAAATAAAAGGGAGAATTTTAGTAAAGGACTAGGGATGTGATGCATTTTCAAATCACATTCAATAAAATCTAAAACTACACTGCAGGATCCAAAGACTAGATTAAAATTATTTTTTAAAAGGAAATAACCAAAATGCCCTTCATTTATTTAAAAAGAAAAAAAAATCACTAATCATTGTTGCCAAAGCACCAATGCCGATGACTTGAGCCTTTTTCAAGACGGCAACGAATAGACCTCCATCGCTGGAGCTACTACAATATTTGAATTACAAATTACAAATTTGAAAAACAAGTTATAGATACATCATAATGAAATTGCAAATTTAAAAGCCAAACTTGCAAATCCCTTAAAGCTATTAAACAATATTTTACTGCTGAATGACAAGGGACTTTATTGGCACTTTGAAATTGGTTATTATTAATTTGAATTAATTGATCCTTTTGAGACTTAATTATCATTCTTCTAAAAAAAAAACCTTTCATAGAAAGGTGTAATTAATAAAATTTTTCTATTTGAGTCATCTTATTGAATAAAAGTAAATATAAAATGTGATTTTAAAAGTCATTAACTAATTTATTGGAAGTGTAAATTTATTAAAAGTGAATTGGTCCCTCTATTTAGTGCTCCCTTCATCTCAAATTATAAGACACACTTTTAAATAAAATCTCACATACTAATAAATCTCATTAAATATAGTTAACAATTTTATTTTTTAAAAAATAAAAATATAAAATTTTAAAATACTTTTCATTTAATATATTAAAAAAAGAAGGGACAGAAATTAAATATAAAGAGAGAAAGGGTAATATTGAAATAAGCCTATTTAATGAAACATTAATCTTCTTAAAGTATCTTATATTTTAAAATATTGAATCTCTCCTAAAAGTTTCTTATAATTTAAGATGAAGGGAGTATTATAAAAAAAAATTTTGAAGTATATATCATTTTAAAACATAACATATTTTTAGACTTTCAAGATAAATTTAGTAAGATTCTTTTTTAACAATACCCTTAATTAGGGGTATAATTAACAAGAGTTTTAATTTGGACAACCTAATAAAGATACATGTAAAAGAATGATTATTATTTTAAATATGATTAACTAGCTTACTAGGAGGTGCTAGTTAAAAGTGCCTTATAATTCTAAACAGATGGAGTATAAAGACTTTTTTGGAGATGCAACTTTGTTATCTCAAAATATAAGATATTTTTAAAAAATATAAAGTTTCATTAATGATAACTATTTTAATATTACCCTTCATTACTTCATTCATTAAATAAATTTATTTTCCTCAATCTCTCTGCTCTTATTAATGAATGATATTTTTAAAAATTTATATAAAAATTTAAGATTATAAACTATATTTAATGAATTTCATTGATATGTATAACTTTGCCAAAAAAATATCTTATAAATGAGATTGAGGGAGTAATATTTATTTAATTTGAATTTGGATAAAAATTAAAATTCAATATTAATGATGGTTGTTAATTGATTGCTTTTAGTCATCAATGCTTCAAATGAAATACCTCCCTCTCTTCTCACCTACCTCTAACTTCCAAAAACTATGCAATAAATGTCTTCATATCACTTCACACCTCCAAAAATTAAGACTATATGAATGATGTTGATGAAACATAGGCAAGAGACAAACCCACCCACATCCCATATAGCTGGGTTAGTTAAGTTGAATGGAAGAGAGGCAAGAGACTATAAATGTGATTTGGATGTTCCTATAAATGATGTCCCAGGAGCAACGTTTCAAGATCAAAATTTTGAAACCATACTGCGACATGTATTTTTCATATTTGAAACTAGACTTGTTAATACCTAAATTTAATTAGGTAATATGCCTCAACCTCGCTTTCTATGGGAATTCAAGAAAATTAAGGATGAAACTTGATCATTTATTTCTTATTTCACATACTATTTTTGTTCAGCATTATAAAACACTTTTAATTTATTTACACTTTAATAAATTAATTAATGACATTTAAAATTATATATTTTTCATGTTTACCCTCATTTAATATGTTGTCTCAATTAAAATATCTTATTAATGACACTTCTAATTAAGGATATTTTTTTAAAAAAAATTGTATTAATTACATATAAAAATTTAAAATGTCTTAAATTTTTTAACATGATAATTTAAAAAAAAAAGTTTCTTATAATACCGAACAGAGGGGATGTGCATAGGAAAATTCTATAAAAATTCTTGAGAATTTGTTATTCCTCTAATCCTGTTTATAGGATAGAGAGAGAGAAGAAAAAAATTGATCCTATTTATAGAACACTTGTTAATTCTCAATACTCCTCTTTATATTTTTTACCCTTATTAAATGCTTTGAATAAAAATATCAATAATAAAATTTAATAACATTTATTATAGATAAAGGTAAAAATTTGTTAAATTTTAAGATAAAGTTAACAAGGTTTAAAGTTTTTCTTGATTTTGATAAAATATATTGAAAATGATTTATAAATAGGACAAAAGGGAGTAAGTTACTGTTAACCTCTAGAATTTCATATCATTTTATCACATTTTCTTTATATTTTAATTCATTTTGCCTCATTTGTATATATTTTTATTACCTAAATTAAAAAAATGTGCATTTTACTTTGGGTTTGCATTCTTAGCTTTAATTTAATATTTTCAACCTAATTTTGTGTTATTTTAATTTAAGATTTGATTAGATGCATTTTTGAAGCTTTGTTGATATTTTTGGAAGGGTTTTGGATGAAGAAATCAAGTGCAAAAAGGATAAATTTTATTAATTGTGAAAACAGTTTAAAAATGTTAAAGTTGTCAGAAAGTTGAGACTTTCATTCATGACTTTCACCGTTGTCAGAAAAATGCTACATTTTATTTATCAAAAATTGATTGGCTAGGACATATATATGTTGAGAGCTCAACCCAGAACATATTCTTCAAACTTTTAGACACATTTGGAGTTTGGGTGTGCTAGGGTTTGGGCATTGGAAGTGCTTGAAGCAAGAGAATAGAGTTTTGAAGACATTTGGAGTTCCTTTTTCTTGGTTTTTCTATTCCTCTTCCCTTTCCTTCTTGTAATCTTGTAATGGCTATGAATATCTTTCGTATTTGTAGTTTTTTTATGTTTATGAGTAGCTAAACTCTTTACTCTAGGATTATTTTAAACCCTTATATGGATTATCATTAAGTTTTTCCTCTCCTTTTGTGATTAATGATATATATATATATATATATGTTTATTTTACTTGTTCCTTAATGCTTTCAAGTGATTGACTACCATTTAGATGTTGGTTCACTTAATTGATGCTTGAAAGGGCTAGATTGAGTGTAAAATTTAGGTAAAATAGTGCAAGAACTTGATATTTACATATTGAATAGATGGTTTTGCTAATAAGATAGAAATATAATTGCTAGCCTTGCATAGCCACATTAGGGTTGGTATTTAAAATTGAGTTTTATTAATTGTAATAAGAGATTGCGCAATTAATTTAACTAAACGCTTATTTATGACTTGAGAGAGCTTATCCAAGTATTTTTAAAACTCTAAATTAGCACTTATTTTCATTAAAAGTATTTATAAAATGAGGTAATTTTGGTGTTATGAAATGCAAGGGGGATAAATAATCCTAACTCCCAATTTATATCTAAAGTGTGTGAATCAATTGCTTTTCTTTATTTTTTTAGTGTTAACTTAGTTTTGAAATTATTTTCATCTAATTATGTTTGGCTCAACTTAGTTGAACTCACTTAGTCTTTTATTTGATCATTATTTTTGAACAAATCCTCAAGAGAATAATACTTTACTTATTTTATATTATTTATTATGACCCGTACACTTATGATGAGCAATAGTTACACAAACAGTATAGAAGTGAATAAGAAGTGAATAAGAGCCTGCTCTATTTTTTAGGATCCATAGAAATCTAAGAAAGCATGATCAAAATTATACAAGAATAGCTCCTGCTGAACGGGAAACCACGCTTTTTATCTGTTAAATTAAATGGAAGACAAGGTTAAAGAACACAAATAAGCAGAATGAAATGATCTAAATCCTTGTACAATTAATTAAAACATCCAAATTAAGCCTTATAACTACTGATGTAACTGTTTCCAACAGGAAGCGAAACCATAATCAAAGCAGAGACACCTTCTTTTGGAAATGGAACAGCCACGACATGTGCCTCATCATCGCAAACCGAACAATGAATCCAACGAGAAACAAGCACGGCCTCATTCCCTTCCTCAAACTCTACCTCGTACCCTCCAAACTCATCCCACGTTGTCCTTACCACCTCATATTCCTTCTTTTTCATCACCCTGCCTGCAGATCTCTGCACACTTTTACTCTTACAGCAACTTCCCACCTCTCTGATAACCTCACCAGATTTCATCACCATCAACGAGAAGCTCTCAATCATTATCTTCCTGTCAAGCTTTTGCTCTGCCTTCTCCACGAAAATCATGCCCAGTTCCTTCCACATGTCGTCGTCGTCCTCCTCGAAACCTGCGTCCTGGGACGAAGCGACCTTGAATATGACATTTACGACCTGGTGCTTTGTTGGGGTGCGAGTGATTATTTCGGTGGGAGGAGACTCAAAGTTCTTAAGACGAGGATGGTAAAATATGGGTGTGACAGTTTTAGTGTCTTCTTCTTCGTTCTGGGCTTTTAGGTTATTAATATTGTTCTTGTGTATGTCCGACCATTTCTTGAGGAAATTCTCAACGACCAGAAACTCTGTCAGGAGGAAGCTGCAACTTATTCCAATGGAGTATCCTCCACATTCGAAGTTTGTCACCTGAAAATAAATGATAAAATGACTTGAACTAGTCACGATATGAATTTAGATTTATACATATACATACTTGCCTGAACATAAAAGAGAGGAGAGAAATCAGGTGTGTGTTCATCCACGTCCTTCCAGAACACAAGATCAGCTTCAACCTCAACGAAATCCTCTCGATTCAGTCCAAGAAGATGAGACATGGTCATGGGGATTCGAGCCTCCACCATTCGAATGCCTGAGTCATTGGACACAATCTCCAGTACTGCTCCGCCGTCGTCAGGGTCTTCCCTTCGCCGGAGCCGGCCTGCGACCAGGGGGTAGTCCGACAGAGCCATGGCCAGTGACTCGACGGCCCAACCAGCCAGAAACGCCTCATGATGATGGTCGTCGTCCTTGGTAGACTTGGGGAAGTAAAGAACTATGTGGTAACAGCCAGAAATAGCTTTTGCGTTGTGGGTCGCCAGAACTTGACGAACCTGTCGTGGTTCAGTCACCTTTAATGGTGACACAGTTAACACAGCTTCAATCTGCGACTTTGCCTCTCCCATTCCCATATTTTTTCTTGAGAGAGAGAGAGAGAGAGAGAGAGAGAGAGCTTCTATGTTCCAGGGTCTCGTTTCTTTGCTGGAGGGTGAAATATAACGGAAAATTTTACCGCGGCTTTCACTGCGCGTACAGTTAAACGGTTGAACTTACCACCAACAGATTTTTACCAACAAATATTGGTAAACATGTGATCAAAATTCAAATATCATTATGAGTGATTCTGAAATTATTTTTTGAACTTAGAATTATAGGTATGAGTTTTGTTAAGTTTAGATGTTCAACTTACTTTTTTTTTTCTTTTGAAAAACATAACTTTTAGACTTCTGAACTCTTTCGATTTAATTTCTAAATTTTAATCCAGAATAACTCTTACTCCTATAATTTCTTAATTATAAACAATTTAATTTGTGTAGTTTCTTGACTTGGAAGAATTTAATCTCTGTAATTCCTTAACTAAATAAACCATTAAATTGTATTGAGTCAAATTCCAATGACTAAATCAAAATTAAAAGAAATTTTAAAGATTAAAAGTTATATTATCTCTTTTTTTAATAAAAAACATTCTTATGACCTTAATTACCAGGTTAAACCACTGAATAATATAGATCTTACAAATAATTGTGCTTTTTTTTTTCCATGCCGCACGATTTTTAATGTACGAATTTGTCGAAGTTTTATTATATTATTGGTAAGTGATTGGGCATACAACTTAATTGAACTTTTACAGAAAGCATGGGACTCACATTCTAAAATGTTATATAAATAAAATTAATATGTAATTTAAACTCTGAATTATAGATTTAAGGACGGTTTGAATCCTAAATTTTTAAAATAAATATTTTGAATCTTAAACAATTAAAATTAAGGCAATTTCACCCCATTGTTAACTTAAAAAATGTTCATTAAAGTGGGACCTAATGTGCGATTTTTCTCGAATGAGGGTAAGAGAGAGAGGGAGAATAAAATTTGATAAAAAATTACACATTAAGCCCTAATTTTAAAAAAATTAATGAATGTTTGTTGAAACTTAATGGTAAAGTGAAATTATCCTAACTTTAATTGTTTAAATTTTAAAATCTACCTTTTTAAGAGTTTAAAGTTTAAATTACCTCTAAACCTATAGTTTAAAATTTAAATTGCATATTAATCCTATATAAAAACCTAATTTTTGGGCAAAAATATAATAACCCTAATTTCCTATTCTAGATCTCTACAAATAAATTGTACTCCTTCTGTCTCAAATTATAAAATACTTTTAGATAAAATTTTACATATCAATAAACCTCATTAAATACACTTAACAACTTTATCTTTTCAAAATAAAAATATAAACTTTTTAAAATATCCATCATTTAATATATTAAAAAGAGAAGTGATAGATAGAAAGTGTAATATTAAAATTTTAACATTTAATAAAACCTTAATTTATTTAAAATATTTCATATTTTATAATAAAAAAATTTTTAAAAGCGCTTGTAATTTAAAATAAAGGGAGTATTTGGTTTTGGGCAAAGCAAAACATAATTCTAATTAAATTTAATGATCATTAATGTCATGTAAGAGTGACGTGGCTGCACGGTTTCGGTAGGCTGATCTACCTGGCTTCTGCATCGGCGGAAAATGGGAGGAGAAAGCGTGGGTGTAAGTATGCTCAATTTGGTAAACTGACTAATCCGTTCAAACTTCAGCCTCAGCAGTCAATATGTTCATTTGATCATTTCTTACAAGAAACTGTTTATTCTTTTCTTTTACATTTTTGCCAAAATAACTTAAATATATTATTTTTCTTAAAAAAAAAATAGGTGAGTCCTGAAACTCTCAAGGCCAGCGCAGGACAATATACATTCCACTTCCAAGAGCGCTAACAAAGTATCCATGAACAATGTTTCTTTATGTTGGTAACATACTTTGAAGTTACAATTTTGCAAGCTACTGTAAATTAGATATTTATTAACTGAAACAACTTTTATTGGAAAACTTAAATATGTCGTTATTGCTAATAATAGAGTAACAATTACAATTAATTTATAATAACTGAGTGGGGTCCTGGCAAATCGAGGTATTTGATTTTGCACAATTTAAATGTTTCTTTTCTAGCATTCTATTGTGTGTGCGTATATATAATTATATATAACAGTTAGGTGTTAAATGCAAGCAACTCTGTAAGTGAGCATTCGAATATTAATTTGTTATATTATGATAGTTGTCAAACTCTTAAGTTGATTCTTTAAGTTTAATGTTTTTACATTTTTAATTTATAAAATTTTATCAACTCATTTATAAATTTAAACTAAATATAAATTTAGTTAAACTCGCGAGTTTACCTTCAAATTTATCATTTTTATGTTTTTAATTTATAAAATTATATCAATTAATTCATAAACTGAGGCTAAATAATATAAGTTTAGTTAAATTTGTTAAGCTCGTTAGTTCTTTTTTTAGTTGGGCAAGGTAAATGTATATTGTGAAGAATGTAACTCATAAAAGTTATAAGATCTGATTCAAATAAAAAAACTTAAAATAAAAAAATTAATACTAATAAAAATGAAAATAAAAAATATCAAAAATAAGTTTCTCTATTTTAAAATTTATATATTTTATATATGATAATTTATCAATGTATATGAATTTAATTTTAATAATTTATATTTTAAATATATTTGAATTAAATCATAATCATATTTTAATAGTTATTTATTAATAAAAGTAAATTCTTATGAGTTTATAATTTGAGTATGTGATATAAATGTACATTTCAGTTATGAGTTTAACTCATTTTGCTAAACTTAAACATGTTAATATATCTATGGTAACATTGTTATCATCACAGTGTTGGATTTATACTATTTAGTTGATCAACAAAATATATCTATAATATATAAATTTGATTTAGAAAGTTTAGAATTTATATTATTTATTACTTTTTAAAATATAAATATAAATATTATCCTATATTGTATAATTTAGATAGGTTTAGATCATTTTAAAATGATTTTAAAAAAATACTTCCTTCATTTAAAAATATAAGGCATTTTTAACCGAATCTCACCCCTCAATAAAGTAATTACTTACTTTCCAACGAATCATATCTTTTTATATTTACCCCTATTAAATACTCTATAACAAATAGAAAGTCATTATCAATAGGAACATTTAAAAAAAAAATATAATGATTACACCTAAAAAGACTAAAAATGTCTTACATTTTTTAACATTCAACTCTTCAAAAAATGTCTTACATTTTTAAATGGATAGAGTAACTATTTCCTTCTTTTAATTATATTATTTATACTTTTAGAATGTACATACAATTTTTTTTGTAAATTTTCTTATAATCTTTCTTCTTTTAGTTTCTATTTTTTATAATTTATGTTAATCTAAAATAACATATGTTAATATTTAAAAATACAAAATCATATTTTTAAAATCCAGTGCCGAATGAAGATGTTTTGGGATTGAAGGCAAGGTTATTTGAAACATAATCTATTGTAATTTATCTATTTTTATATCACTTTTCTATTTGTTTTGAGTTGCAAAATCATATATTAAAATTTGGTGATCAAGTAATTTTAATATTTTATTTTCAATAGACAACATAGCTAATTCATTTAATCTAATAGATAACATAGTTGATTTAAAAAAAAGATTTGATCAATTTTAATTTTAAAAATTTCTTTCTATGGTAGCAATTGGTACTAGGATTGTCGATAATATTTTAGTATAGTTCAATATTTTCATTAGAGTATTAATTTCTTCAGTTAACATTTCTCTTGATACATAAAAATAAATCAAAACCATCACTATCATAATAATCATTAAAACTTAGAATGATTTTTAAGATTGATACAAAAAATTTCAATTCAACCTCATTCAGAATAAATTGATTGATATTGAAAAATCAGAATAATAGGTGTAGTAAAATGCTGGAAAAATATCAACAAAGACTCCTTAACCCAGATTTATTTTGAACCAAAGCCCCTAAATTTTTAAAACATTACTGCAATCCAGGGGTCCTGACTTGATATTAAAATTCTGAGAGAAATAATAAAACTATCCCTCATTTAAATTGATATAAGAAGTGCCTTAATTATTTTATTCATTGCCCCACTTTACTTATTTATTTACTTACAGAATGTTATTTATGACCATACTTTCACATGATTTCATTACAAATATTTAAATTATTTTAAGATAACTTATTTGTTTCTATATTATATGCTGTTCATTTATTTATAAAATATTATTCGTTGTCCTATTTCATTTGTTCGTTATTAAACTTTCATTTGATTTCATTCTAAAAAAATGAACAAATGAAGTATGACAATTCTAATATTAATATAAATGAGGGGCAATTTTGTCATTTTTTTCATATATTTAATATCAAATCAAGACATATGAACTGTTGTAATATTTTAAAAATTTAAGGGTTTTGATTCAAAATAAATCTGATCAGGGATCTTTATTGCTATTTTTTCTATAAAATTACATATTCAACAGATTAATTTTTATGAGTTTGACATGTTAATTGATCTTAAAGAGGTTTCAACTACACTGACTTACATTGAGGCTTCCAAATGGGGCTTGAAATGTGGTAGGCAAACCAATGGGAGTTTCGAGCGCCTCACTTTTTCTGATGGGTGTGTCCCTTACTGATTGTTCAAATCTGATATAATTTCATTTTTTTATATTTTTAATAAATTATTATCTTAAAAAATGTACATTTTAAAATAAAGATAATCTTATAATGGTTACTCTATCAAAAATATTTTTATATAAAAAACTAAAAGTTAAAAATTTTAAATTTAAATAATTTAAAATATATTTTAGATGATCTAGATCTCACTAAAATGACGAGCAAGCTAAACTTAAAGTTTGTTTGACAACTTATTTTGATACTCTCTCTTTTTAAAAATATAAGATATTTTTAATCAAATCTCATCTCTTAATAAAATAGTTATCTACTTTTAAACTAATCATATATTTTTATATTTACTTCTATTAAACATCCTACAATAAATATAAAGTCATTTATCAATAAGGATACTT